AAGAAAGAAAAGAAAGAAAGAAAGAAAGAAAGGAAGGAAGGAAGGAAGGAAGGAAGGAAGGAAGAGAGGAAGAAGTAAATTAATGATTTTAATTGGTGCAAACAACAAACTCTGCAAATAGTGCAGGCATCTGTCATCTATACTCATAACAGAAGAAAACGCTAAGCATTACTGAGATGCTAAAGTGTGATTTTTTTTTATGCTTCTCTAACTTGCAGATCTCTATAAATGTTCTCTGCAGACTCCAGCATAGAAAGCAGATGGAGGCACGGCTTCTCTGGTAGCCGCAAAGGACCTGTGGCAGCACGCTGGACCTCTCCCTCTCTCTGGTTCTCAATTTCCCCAGGCATGCCTCAGGCTTCTCAGAGGCCCTGAAGACCACTCCCAGAGAGAATGGACTAACCCTAGAAGAGCAAGCCAAACCACACCCACTGCATAAGGTCTGTCCCAGGTCCCTCCCCCTGGGTCGGTGTTTCTTTTAAATGCCTCACTTCAGCTGAAGCTTCCTTTACAGCCACAGTTGGTGCTCTGAGCATGCCGTTTTCCAAGTCTCAGTTTTAACCTTCCACGGACTGAGTCACCTTTATCCTTACTTTTTGAATTTTCCTTTCAGGTACAGAGCATCACAGTTCTCAGATTTTTGTCAATGAACTGACCGCCTTAAAAACCCACAGTTTACTGTGGTAACTAGACCATCCCTTTTCCTTCGTTTCCTTTTCTATCATAAAGAGTGGATCCCAGGGTAGCCAGCTCCCAGAGAGCAGAGCACAGCCCACACACAAGTCTGGATGTTTGTTGTCCCTTCACCTGCCTCAAACCCAGCCTTCCTATAAAGATCCCAGATACTGCAATACTGGCATGCGCCCACACTTTCCTATTTGTGATGTCTAGAGATGTCCTATGTGCTCCTGGGATGAGATGAGAAGATGCTATGTGCCACAAGTCCTGGGAACTGCAGAGCTTGGGGATGCTATTAGTGCCCAGATCCACAGCACAGAGTCCATCAGCTTTCTCCTGGTCAGTTAAAATGTGGTGGTAGCTACAGGCTGTGCCAGGGAAGGAGGTCAGCCTATGCCAAGGTAGCAACAAGCATTACTCTGAGTCAGTAGTCCTCAACCTGCCTAATACAGATCCTCGTGTTGTGGTGATCCCAAGCATAAAATCATTTTCATTGCTACTTCATAACTGTAATTCTGCTGTTATGAATTGCAATGTAATTATCTATTTTCCAATGGTCTTAGGCGACCCCCGTGAAAGGGTCATTTGACCACCAAAAGGTTGGAGATGGAATTGCTCAGGGAGTAAGAAATGTTGCAGGCAGGACAGCCAGAAGCTGTAGGCTCTGCATTGATATTCCTTAATGGTAAGCTTGTGTTTTTAAGGTCACTCTGAGGTCAAAAGTCACTCTGTAAGGATGGATGTCAGCCACAATAACCACAGAAGGCCTAACTAGTGGAAGTCTCTGGTGTCCCAGCTTAACCCCTGATTTCAGATTCTCCAAAGAAACCCCAAGAATAAAGCATGTAACTTTTCATGTTTACAGACCTTTCCTGAGGCATTAGCGTGTTTTGTACATGCTCTCAGGCTGGAGGCAGGAGTCATTTAGACAATGAAAGACCATCATTACCACTACCCTTGCATGGCTTACCCAGACTCGTAAGACACAAAAGTGTCCACAAAGTCATGAAAATGTTTCAAAAAAGCTGAGAAAAAAGCTAATTCTGATAATGAAAAGAGAATTTTTTAAAAAGTATCTTAAGAGCATTTGTTCTGACTAGAGCAAATCACAGTGGCTTGGATTTCAAGGGTCTTTAAATTACACGCGGTTTACATGGAAACAGAAGACAGCAAATACATGAATCTTTTGTTTTATGTTATGGACTGCATGCAACTGGGTTCATCACACACACACACTCACGCATTTGTATGTTTGTGCATACACACTTCTCAGTACTACAAAAGAAGAACCAAAACCTCAAGACCCCAAGTGTTGAGAGCGATGGTGAAACCAGAGGTGAATGACAAGCTTACTTGTAAAGATAGTACTCTGCAGAATCTATATCTTCTCGAGATGAAATGTTGTCCACAAACTAAAGGAGAAAAAAAAAAATTCTTGGTTGAATACAAATTATACCACTTTGGTCTAGATCATTCACTGATCTTTAACAGATATGTACTCTTTTTATTGGAATGATGCTCCTGTGGTAGAGCTCCATTCTGAAAACCCTTCACACTGGTAAAAAACAAAGACACACCATAGCTTCTCTTCTATGTATTTCTATATTTGGTCCAAAACAAAACAAACAACAACAAAGCACCTATTAAAAGCCAAACCCAAACTTTGCTCATACAGACGAAAGCTTCTCACGGTACTGTTTACAGACATCGCCACCTTTATCTTTGCCTTTCCTCTCCATCCTATGCTCCAAACACATGCAACACAAGGTGGAAATGGCGGAGACTCATTTTCAAAATAAATATAACTCATTTTTATTTTATGTTCACTAGTGTTTTGACTGCACGTGTGAGACTGTCAGAAGCCCTGGAACCGGAGTCACGGATAGGTGTGAACCACCATGTGGATACTGGGAAACTGGACCCAGGCCCCCTGCAGGGCAGCCAGTGCTCTTCACCACCAAGCCACCTCTCCAGCCCTGAAATGGTGGAGACTCTGGAACAATACTGTTCAGAAGATCACAATCTAAGTGTAGGGATTCCCTTTGTAGCAGCTTTCACTCTGATTTTACTGTTTTAGGATTGAGGCTCCTTCAAGCTATAAAATCTACTGAGCATCGGTGCCGGGGACGCAGCTCGCTGGTGGAGGGTACCCAACCAACACTCAGGAGGCTCCAGGTTCAGTCTCCAGCACTTGACAAACAACCCTTGGAAACTCTGAGTCTGCTCCTTACCTACGATCTAAATGAGCAGGAAATACTCCCCAAGGGTGGATTCTGCTGGCAGGTGGGAGATCTCACATAGGAAGACAGAATAAGAGACAGGCTCTGTGAGTGTAACGAAAGCCTCATGAAGAGATGGAAGGAAGAGAAAAAGGAGACTTTCTAAAAATAACCAGGCCCTGTGGGTTTGATTTAGAAACCCATTAAAGGGCAGATAACATGAGGTGCAAACACCAGCCCCGAGCCTGAGAAGCAGCTCTCCTGATAGCATGCTCTGGCACAAACAGATGGCTCGGGCCCTCTGGGACTGAGTCGCTCCATCTGGATCAACAGCTACAGGCTTCTGCCCTGAGGAGCATGAGGTTCAGGTTGGAACATGCACACAAAAGCTCTTTAAAGTTCCAAGTTTTGTCTAAATGAAAATCAGGTATTCCAACCCACAGAGGGGTGGCCACCCTAAAGACAATGGCCTCTCAATCTTCTCCACTATGGGATATGAGTCCCCAAGTCTAAGGAATCTCAACTGTCTCTCTACTAAGAGGACAAAGGGCACAGAGAAAGGATCAGGGAAGGAAGGAAAGATTCTTTCCTTCCACTCGTCTAGATTTAGGAGCTCCCGAATTTGCTCAATTCTACCAAAGGCATTTCCAAGATCTCATCACCTCTGAGGAAGATACAACCACCCTCAAACTGGAAATGGGGAACTGAAGAACACTGCTGCCCACTGTGGTAACCTGGTCTTGTCTTGATGGTGATTTCAGGTGGACTTTGACATTCCAGCCTTTCTGCCTACAAGCTGTGTCCATCTGCAAAGTTACCTCATCTTTTGTGCCTTACAAATACCACACACATCTCCCAGTTCCTGAGGAAATGAACACACAGGATGTATGGCGAGATACTATTAGAGTGGCTGCCATGGAGGTACCCTGTGGCGGTTCCTACCAATGGCTACTCCGGTTGCTGGCCTGACAGTTCTCCTACCCAGCGGCTGTCAGTTCACCATTAATATCCATTCTTCCACGGATGTTATCCAGCTACTGAGGGTATGTTCATGCTATTACACCCAAGGATATGTTAACTTTAAAAACACTGAATAATGTAACCTGAGGAAAATAAATCAATCAGTGATTGCTAACCTGAGTCTGGTATATTTATCTCCTTGTATTTCAGCCACTACATCACAAAATATCTATTGGCAATTACACAAACATACTACGCTGTGGAAAGTTATTTCCCACATGACTACTATTTCTACAGCACATCCCTGTCTGTACAGTCTTGCTTGCTTCCTTCTTTGAAAGTAAGTTTAAAATGGTCTTACCCGTGATATTGATAAAGAACTAACAGGCAACTTTCTTTCATATGCTTTGTCCATTAAGGATGCAAGATCAGCTGTGAAGACAAAGGAGAAAGAGCCCTGTTAAATATACACATTTCTCCAGAACAATCTAACAGATTTGACTCTTGCCAGATGGCCGAGAACGTTACAAAGTCAGTATCTACACAGATGCTCATTCTTGCTCTTTTTCAGAAATTGAAGACAACTATTTAGTCACAGTTATAAATAATGTGTTGAACTAGAGAATATAAAATAATAATGCAAAAAGTACAAGTTTAGCTCTTAAAAATGGACCGATGCAGTGTCTCTGCGAGGAGAGTCAGAGCGTGAGGCCTGCCAGTCTGTAGGGAAAGGAGCCGGGTGAGAGGCAAGCCAGCGAGCGGTCGCTGCCTCTTACTCCCTAGCACGTGCTCCAGTCACGTGGGGTAGCCACTGCAAAGGTTTATAACGGCCATTTACCAAGAGACTTTCATATATTTGCTAAACAAAGCAGAAAAGCCCCAGCCTCTCCTTCCTGATTAGTAGCCTCCACCACCCATGTGTTGGCTCCTCTCAACAGACCGTCCTTAGGACACTTAGAAGTTGTGACATCACACTCATCTCTAGCTCCCCTCAACAGACCGTCCTTAGGACACTTGGAATGGGTGACATCACACTCATCTCAGACCCTAAAACCACTTTGATCTTAGGCAACACACACTCCAAATGGTTTATGTCACATCATATCACTGATTCTCAAGTTTACGGTATTTTCTAGCTCCCTGCATTCTCGGCTCATGATTCTAACCCATCTCAATGGAAAGATGATCAAGAGAGCATTTCCTTGTATCAAATCTACCAGGCCAGTGCTAACTCTGTCCGCGTTTGATCTATCTAGAGATATTCTTAAGGAAATATTTATCTGTTCATCCCCACCCCACCATTTCTCAGGCTCCGTTAGAACTGTCTTTTCTTTCTGTCTCTCAATGTTGGAATAACCACCTCTCAGTAGTAGAGTATGCTATGGCTTCATGCCTGGGTTCAGGTGCTGCACTGTAACAGTTTCTCCCACAGCTGTAATCTACACACAGTTGCCTCTGTGTATAGACATACACCCTAAATCTGGCCTTTAATTCCAGACCTTCATTTCCAGTTGTATAGGGATATCTCCATTTGTGTGTTCAACAGGCCTTTCAATTGCATGTCCTCTAAATTCTTAAACTGTCCACTCTAAATATGCTTTCCCCATCTCAGTAAAAGGACATGGCTGGCTGGCTGAAAACTCAGGAGTTATCCTTGATCCCACTGTTTTTCAAACTAAGCAACTGGTCAGCAACACCTATAGGCTCCAGGTTTGAATATATACATATTTATTTCATCAACTCTCTTGCTTCCTGACCACACTGTAATGACTATTAAAGGGTCTAGGGGCTAGCTCAGTTGGTAAAGTGTTTGCCAAGCAAGCATGAAGTCTGATCATCAGCACGAATGTAAAAAGCCGGTCATGGTGGCATGAGCTTATGATCCCAGTATTGAGCATGCCACAGGGGCTACCTGACCAACTAGCCAGCTAATGTGCGGAGCACCAGACCAGTGAGCAGCCTTGTCTCAAAACACAAAGTGAAAAAACTTGAGGCTATCTGCTGGCCTACACCCACACATGCACAGGTGTGCACATGTAGCCAGCATCATGCACACAAACACACATGTAATCAATCACCTCACACCCACACATGCACAGGTGTGCACACGCAGCCAGCATCATAAACACACACACACACACGTAATCACCTTTCCCTTCCTTATAAAGTGATGTTCTGTCAAGCAAGCAGGTTGAGGGAGGCTTTTAAAGACAGTTCAGATCCTGTTATTCTCTTTCTGGACCAAATACTTTCTACCTACTACAAACACCCATATAAGATGGTCCCTCTTGCCCTTATAGTAAAAGTGTCAGGGACGAACTGAATTCACAGACCTACACTCAGTATTCAGGACAGTTCTGTGAAAAGCATTCAGGAAATATCTAAAGGCAAGAATCAAAGGAAAAAAAGATAAGGAATAAACCGGTATACTTCTCAGGCTTTCTCTTGGTGAAATGAATAGCAAATCTGGAGACATTCAGCCACACTCAACTGACACTTGTTCACTGGTAACTTCTTACTGTGTATTTAACTATTTTCTCTTCTTGCTTCAGGGAAATGGTCCCTATGACTTATAGTAATTGGGAAAAGCAACTTGGTAAAACTCCTAAAACCTGACTTGATATAAATGGCCTACTTAAATGACTATTTTAAAAGTATTGAAACAGGTGATTTGATTACAGCATTGGTAAAACTCACAAATAGGTCCTTAAAACTCCTTCCTATCAGGGATCATATAATACTATCATGTGCACTTGCTCATAATTAGATACTCATGCTACCAAGTCTATAATTATGACCACTCTTATGTTAATGATCAATATGAAAAATCACCCCCCTTTATTCAGAATTTATACTGTATTTTAAAAAGCCAGCATCAGGAGCTACTGGCCTAATTAAAACAGCCTGTAAGATCCTTTCCGATGTCCTTCTCACACAGTATACACAGTCTCTCACCCATCACAGGACTGAGACAGCTCGCTGATTACCTCCAAGCATGGTAACCAGATTCTATCTGAAGCCTTCACACCAAGGCATCTTCAGTGAAGTGGAATTGGCCAGGGCTTCTAAAAAGACAACAGCTGCAGAGCCCCCATCTGATGAATAACATTTCCATCCTTACATCAGAAAGGCTTGCTGCAGATACACTACGTGTCCAATCCCCTTGCATCACCGAGCTGCTATGATGAATGAGGCAGAAAACAGGGAAGGGCGGGAGCGCCAGGAAAGCAGGACAGCTGCAGCATGTGCAGGGCCAGCACCACAGGCTCCTGATGGCGCCTTCCACAGCCAAAGCCACACTTCATGCTTTAGTGAGGGTCCGACAGATGCCCAAGTTCTGTCCAATGGGCTGTGCCAAAGACGTTGTTTTGCTGGGTTCTCAGCTCCCCAGGAACAGTCACTGAAGCTGATGGCTGTGGACAACAAAGACTTTGGGAAAACGGACCTGCCATACGAACTTTTCATTTAGCAAAATGTTCAACTACACAATGTGGAAATACGTTTAGAAGATGAAACACAGGAGAGTTTTAAAGTATTCTTGTTTGAAGACAGGAACAGCACTGAGGATCTAAGGACAAAGATGATTTATTGAGGACTTTTTATAACAACGGAGTGAACTCCCGAGGGTTTAAGACTAAATTTCCAGGCCTGCCGCCCAGAGTAAGGGTTATGCTCTATAGATCTGTAGTAAACCAGGGCATCTAACTCTGTTAGCAACAGACCCAGCAGCTGATGGTGCAGCCACTCAAGAAGACTACAAGCTGTGTAAGAACATCCATGCAGAGGAGGCAGGATTGGGATGTGGTGTCTAAGTCCACAGACAACACTAAAACAATCTTATTTCTGGAATAAGATGAATTTTATTCCCTTAACAACCTTTTGTACCATAAAAATAAAACTAAGCTTTGAAAAAGGTAAATAGAATTGCCAGGGGCCACACAGAAACTCATACTTGGAGGACTTGTGGGAATAAGTGTAATGTTGGTAACCCCAGGGGATCAGAGAGATGCTGTGGCATGGGCCTTTGGTTTTAATAACTGGTGACATCACAGAAAACTCAAGACTTTGTAAGAGGTGAAGCTGGTCAGGAGGCTCTCGTGTACCGTCAGGCTGGAGCTGCTTGCATACTGAAAGGAGAAACTAGAATAAGTACCTCTGTTCTCTGAGGATCTGACACAAGTGATCTCTGGTGCCACTGAAACCTTGACGCGAGCCTTCTTGGTAATCCCAAGTGTGCCAGGCTAAGGGTTTTATTCAAAGAGGTGTTCTTTTACAGAAAACCTAGAAACAGCAAACTGATCTAAACAAGAAGCACATCAGTCATTTCCTGGGGGCCTGGGTGTGGAGCAGAAATGAGCAAGGGTACTAAAGGACTAGAGACAACTGCCTTTGGAGGTGACCTGACTATGATGTATACGGTCATATATAGCTCCACTTTTGTCAAAACTTACTAAACTGTATGCTTTAGGAATGGCTTGTTTTTATGTAAATATTTCAACAAAGTTCAAAAGAAAGGGACAGAACAGGAAACAAAGTCAGGCATAGGGCTGTATGTCTACATTCCCAGCACCTGGGAATCTGAAGCATGAAGAACACAAGTTTGAGGCCAGCCTATGTTGCACATCATGAGCCTGTCTCAAACAGCAAGTGAGCAAGCGAGTGAGCGAGCAAGCAAGCAAGCAAGCAAGCAAGCAGTGAGTTAAAAAGGTTAGATGTGAGAACTAGTGGACTGAAAATCAAGCAGAAGTGAAATTACACGGGAAGCAACAAAGATACGTGAGAAGACAACACTAAGAGACACTGAGAACAGGATGATTTCTGAAAGAAACTTAATTTCCAAAAAAGTAGACCAAGAGAATGAGGTGAGCTGACATGTAATGGAAAAACACATGCATATGCACACGTGCACACACACAGCTTACGGATATGTGTGTGTACAGTCTATGACTGTGTGTGCGCGGTCCATGAGTGTGTATGGAGGACACAGTTCAGCACAGGTCTCATTCAGCTCCTTGGACACCATGTGTCTGGTCTAAGGCCTGCCAATCGCAGTGAGCTGGCTCTCAGGGACGGGGACACCCAGGGATCTGTGTTTCTACCTCCTCAGTGTTGGCATTCCAGGTATGCACCATCACCTGGATTTTTTTTTAAAAAAAGATTTATTTTCTGTGTAGTTTTACATGCATGTTCGTATACCCATATATACACCATGTGCTTGCAGTGCCTGATGTCAGAAGACGGGGTCAGGTCCTGCGGGAGTTACAGGTGGCTGTGAACCTCCAGGTTAGTGCTGGGAGCCAGTGCTCCTAGGCAGGGTCACCTCTCCACCCCCACTGGGTCTGCCCCCCACCCATCCCCATGCGGTTTCCTCAGTGGGTGCTGGGGACCACCCTCTCTCCAGCCCTGCCCTGTCCCTGCCCACCCTCCATCCG